CATGATTCTGGTTGTCTCTGTCTTTTGGTTTCACTTGAGTGTCATAGCCTCCTAGCCCTCCCCTCTCCCTATTTTCCGTCCTTTAAAGAGTCCTAAGGATACCCCTGCCAGCCTTCTTTAGCTCTGGGTCTCCTCTGTCAGCAACATTTTCTCAGATGTCATCAGATAATCCAAAGTACTAATGATAAAACAATGTTTTTGACTGCTGCTGAAGTCAGCTGTGCCCTCATAAGAGGCCAGACTCGCTCCTTATAGCACTGCAGAACTTGGTGATGAGTGGGGGTATGCTTATATAATTTTCCTAGATAATCTTTGGACCAGCTCTTTTTCTTGTGTCACTTTATTTATTTATTTATTTTGGCTTTTATAAAACGTTTTGACTAAAATGCTGTTTGGAACATTCAACTCACTTGTCATCAAGGTGAAGAGCTACAGTAATCAGAGTGACAGCCAGTATGGTGGAGTAGGTAGAAGTATTCCCTTTTGAGTTGTAATCAACGGCGAATACATTCATGCAAAGAAGAGGGTTGGGACCGTAATCTCTAGCCCTATGTCTGACTTCTGTGTGTTATTCCAAACCCGCTCACAGAATCCACACATGTTCAAGCTGTAAATGTGGTGTGCTCCGTACTCAGGGTTTTTCTGAAAGCCTGCACTTGTCTTGTACAGTCATAGCTAGCACATGTAGGCCCATCCTTAGACATTTTGTGGCCTGAGGCAAAGACCTCTGCCTCCCATTTCATGTACAGAAGTGGCTGGACTGGCAGTTCATGCTTCAACGCTGACAACAGGATCACAGTCGGATGTTGCTGCAACTGGGGGTAGCTGACTAGCTTAGAGGGTTCAGCACAAACAACTCTTTCCTCTAAGAGTGGTACCGGGGGGGGGTCACTGCTGCCACCCATATTTCTTACCTGCAGAGATGCCTCACTGCTCTACCAGAGTGGTCTGGTAGTCCAGATAGGCGGGGTACAAATCAAATAAATAAGTAAATAAGTAAATAAGTAAATAAGTAAATAAATAAATAAATAAATATTAATGGTAGGATTGGCTAGTGGGAGCAGTAAAGACTCAAAAGAGGGAGCCAAAGCTCCCGTCTGTTACCCTTCTGAAGGGAGGGAGATTAAAGGAAGACTGTGTAAGGAAGGATTCCCTTCCTTTGAAAAGAGCCATTTTGTTCTCGTGTTAGCCCTGTATAGTTTTTTCAAGGTTTTATGACATAGTCTCTGCATGCAAAATTTAGTAAAGTTATTGAACTTCACATCTTACAGAATTTAATTCCTTATTAGAAATGTTCACACACACATATATATACACACATACAGTATATCTATACATATCTATATCTATCTATACACACATATATACACACACACACACAAAGACAAAAACGTGGCACCTTAAATACTATTTTAAAGAACATTTCTAATAAGGAATTAAATTCTGTAAGATGTGAAGTTCAATTACTTTACTAAATCTTGCATGCAGAGACTATATATGTGTGCGTGCGCTGCTTTTATGTATGCCATGGTACGCAAACAGTGTAAATCAAATTGCTGCTAGATAAGAAGCTGAGGCTTGTATTCTTGATCACCCACCAGTCCTATGACATGGTGTGTGATGAAGAACAAATCGCTGCTGAGATCTGGAATTATAGAACTGTAGAACTGGAAGGGACCTATGAGTCATTGAATCAAACTCCCAGCCAAAGCAGGAAATCAAAAGCTAAAGAATCTCTGACAGATAGTAATCTAACCTCTGCTTAAAAACTTGCAGTGTAGGGGAATCCAGCACCCTCTAAGTAGTCCTATGGAACAGGTCTTAGTGTCATGAAATTCTTCCTAATATTCAGGGAAATTCTTCTTTCCCATAATTTGAACCCATTACTTTGGATCCTGCTGTCTGTAACCACAGATAACAATCTCACTCCATGTTCTATGTGGTAGTCCTTTAAATTTTTGAAAACAGCTGTCATAATGTCTCTCAGTTTTCTCTTCTGTAGGCTAAACATATTTCCTCTAACCATTCTTCATAAGTCTTAGTTTCCACATGTTTTATCATCCTGGTCACCCACCTCTGTACACATTCAAGCAGGTCAATATCCTCCTTAAACTGTAGCACCCAGGAATGGACTCTATATCCCAGCAAAATGGAGTGGTACTGTTGATCTGGACACAGTACTTTAGTTGATGCAACCAAGTACGTATTGCATTTGGCTTTTTAAAAAATACGCATGTGTATATAGGATTCTGGCCATGATACAGTATGAATCCACCTACTAATCGTACATAGAGACAATGGGAGCGGTTGCATGACAAGAACAGGTTTATCAGAACTCATGGTCCTTCAAGTTTATGCTACAAACCATTCTTGTCCTAAAGTCTACCAGGTGCTTGGTATTGCCTGTCTGGGTTGGGGTCTGCATAGAGTTGGAAAAAAAAGGCAATCAAGTGCCTAGTGGGCTGCAGCATGAGAGTACATGATGGAACGGCCAGAACCCTTTTTATGAATCTTTCCTTCTCACTTGCAAAACAGGCATGGAACAGTTGAGCTAAAGTCTTTCTCTTTGATGTGCTGGTGTACTATTTCCAGGAAACTGTTTGATAAAAGGAAGTATTCAACACAGTAAATCCCTGCCCGTGAACACACCCGTACATACAACATGTGAACACTTGCTGCCTGAATTGATGCAATCCATTTCACCACCTTTAATGTTCTGGATTTTGAGATCTAGCCTCTATTTCCATTTTGTTATTCTATGTGGAACTTCTATCAACTTTTTGTTTCTTTTGTTGTTCATTACTATTTTTATTATTTTTTTTATTATTTTATGAATTTTCAGTGTAATTATCCACATTGTAGATTCCAACCAGATAAGGGAGATGATATCCTACCAGTGAAATGGAGGCATTGGATAGGGGAAAAATGAGGTCGGTTCTGATCTTCTGTGCCACTTAAAGTTGAATTGTGTAACAGCAAGCAGAAGAAAGACTTTAAAACTGGGGATGTAGAAGCCATTGTAGTTAAAAATTTATATGTGGAGCTTTAGCTGTAAACCTTCTCCCTTACAAAAATAATTGAGATCAGTTCCTTCATGTTTGTCTTATCCACATAATGGCTACACGTATGCCAGCTGAATAACCAGTTTCTTTACCTCTCAGATATTAGAGGTTTACAGCTATAATTGTTGTTTTGGTTACTGCAATGCAGTGTTTGAAGGTTGGTGGAGTTTCTTGGCATTAAAGTGTATGATACCCTAGAAACTGTGTTGTCTCTCAAGCCCCCAGGGTGCAAATGATATGGGATCTATTTTCCCATGGCATTTTCCATGGAGCGCCAATAGGCATTGGAATACAGAAGCCATATAGATTCATGGACCCAGGGTTGTTTTTCAAATAGCAGCAACATGGATGGAGAGTAATGGTGGTATTCTTCCTGATTGATCTATATTTATCTGGGAAGGGATGCTATGCTGAAGAAACCATGTGGCTATGCCGGCTTAACAGAGTATCTGCACTCACCGACTGCTTAGAACCACATAAATACATCATAGACCTGGGGTTACCTTGGCTGTTGTATTTCACATGGGAACTCATTCACCAAATAACAATATTTTCCCCATATTTTATTCTCATAGCTAATTGAAAATACTGTGGGCACCAACATAACCACCAAATCAGACTATCTGTTGCTGGAACGGTACATGGATATCTAACTGTAAAAAAATGCAGTTAGCAGTGTGACCCCTAATAGACAAATAGCTCAACACCACAGTGCTCAGAATGAGTTGCTGGTCATTAATTCCTTTGGTGAAAGAACTAAAGCATGATTAAATTACATTTTAGTTGTCTTATAATGAGGGATAACTCCACTTCCTTTAAAAGATTTGAAATAGCAACTGATTACTTTGGTGGTAGCATGCAGGCTTGAGGCTATAACTATAATTACTTTTTAGAAGTATGTTTTCCAACCTTCAACATCTGTAGCATAAATGGTGCCATAAAATTGCCCAGGCATTACCTCTATGTGAAAAAAAAATCACTGTACTTCATTTTTATAAAACAAGTATTGCTGTATTGATTACACATTGCAGTTTATATAAGATGCTTTTCTCCACCATTGTCCAGGTACTGTTTCTAGCCAGATCTTGCAGCTGCCTAACTTATTAATCAAAGTAGGTGGTATCTTTAACATGATTTTAGAAGAGGCATCCTCTCAAGTGGCAAAGAAAATATCAGAGCACTTATTTTTTCACTCCTGTTTAACCTGCATTTAGAGTCCTTTGTTTTGAATTGGCTTTTGAAAGGTAAACACATTGCTAGTCTGCATGTGTCAGTTACAAAAAATTGTTGTAGGAGGGAAAGCAAGTTAATCATACAGACCATGTATTCACCTTAACCTAGAGTCACAATGTTTAAAGATGTATGGTCATCAGAGGAGAGTCCACTCAGTATCCACCACAGCATAGTTTCACAGATATGTTATATGGAGAGTATTTTCCCATCTCTGTCTTAAAGTTTGGGTTGTATTATTCATTACTTTATTCAAAGACTTTATAAAGCCTTTTCCTAAGATTTGCAAGAAAATGAACCTCTCTTATTATTATTATTATTATTATTATTATTATTATTATTATTATTATTATTATTATTATTATTATTATTATTATTATTATTATTATTATTGCATGCAAGTAGTCTTTCTCCTGCAGGCCAGCTAGACACGTGAAGGTTCACCCTGTTAATTCGCAAGGCCTTCTTTGAAGATCTTTATGTAAGCGATTCTGACTGCCGTCAATCCTACTTTTTTTTTTAATAATCTGGGTTACTTTTTGTTAGGCTAATGTCCTTGGTTTAACTATTCTCATGCAAATTCTGTCTTAGATTATTGTTATTCTGCAAATCTTGAGGAGCTCTATTTCTCTGGATTAATGAAAGAATGTATTAGAGCCTCTGTTGTTTCGTGTGTATTAACTCTATTCTTTTTAACTTCCCTTTCAGATAACAACGGATTTCCAATTAAATGCTTGCCAGTGGACTTCATACTGCCTTTCGCGTCTTGGTAGAATAAGAAGAAATCATTGCGGGCGGAGAAGAGCTGCTCCAAGTATTGGATATTCAGCTGGACTACAAGGCAACGTGATTATCTTGTTCTTTCCAACCTTTGGACAAGTATGGAGACTGTTTCCCAGGACACACTGTTGGAATGCCAGATTTGTTTCAATTATTACAGTCCTCGACGAAGGCCGAAGCTACTGGACTGTAAACACACCTGCTGCTCAGTTTGCCTTCAGCAGATGAGGACCAGCCAGAAGGATTTAAGGTGTCCATGGTGCCGAGGTATCACTAAACTGCCACCAGGCTTTTCTATCTCCCAGCTGCCTGATGACCCAGAGGTCATTGCTGTGATTGCAATACCCCACACTTCAGAGCACACCCCAGTCTTCATCAAACTCCCTAGCAATGGGTGCTACATGCTGCCCTTGCCCATCTCCAAGGAGAGATCCCTCTTGCCAGGAGACATTGGCTGTCGCCTTCTGCCGAGCAGCCAGCAGAAGTCTCTCACTGTGGTGACAATCCCAGCCGAACAGCAGCCACTGCAAGCTGGGATCCCAACAGAGGCAGGCGATGAGGAGCAAGACAGGAGAGGCATAGTAAAAAGCTCCACGTGGTCGGGGGTTTGCACCGTCATCCTGGTGGCCTGTGTGCTGGTCTTTCTACTTGGCATTGTCCTCCATAACATGTCATGCATCTCTAAGCGTTTCACTGTGATCTCCTGCGGCTGAATGGAGGCTTCAGCTGTGATACTCTTGTGGGCTAAGATTTAGGGGCTTGGGGAGGGTGGTTATGGTGGTGACAGGATGCCGTGAAGTGAAGCAGTGTCACAGGAACCGTTCTGCAGTACTAAGTCACGGACATTGGGCAAGCTGGTTGATAATCCAGAGTCTGTGGGGAAAAATTAGGACCTTGAGACCTGCTGGTAGAGTCTGGGGCATGTCCAATGTTTATTTGCTGGTAACAGTATCAAAGGAAGACTGCATGCGTCACCATGATCACGTAACAAATGAGCTGTAATTTATAATGATTTCATCATGTTATGAGATTAAAGATGTCTATTTAGCTCGTTCTACTGTACAAGTATAGGACATGATCTCTCCCTTTCTCGCTGTCTCTGTTTCTCTTTTAACAAAGTAGTTGATTTACAGATCAAAATGCTGTATGTTCAAGTAGAATTAAACATTCAGACTAAGGAAGTCAAGCCACCCGGTACTTCTCCAGACATAATGAAAGCATAACTCTCTTAATTTTTAAACAGCAAAAGGGAAAATTCAGAGAGTCGAGTAGTTGTTACTCAATAAGGCTTTTTTTGTATCTTTTAAATTGCACATTAATTAAAAATGGTTTTAAAAATATGTGCTATAGTTGTAGAAGGAAAATGTTTTTTTCTAAAGCATTGGAAGCATTTTGGATGTAATATATTCATGTGTTTATGTGCATTCTGTTTCCTTCTGTAGTTTTTTTAATTATTGGAATGAGACCCAAGCATAGAAACAATAAAGGGAACTAGGAAGGTTATCTAGAAATCCAACCCAAATGTCTGTTTTTATGTGCCCTTCTGCAAAATGCTGCTTGAAAATACAAATTCTTAGCATGCTGTTTCAAGTGCACATAGTGGATATGTTCAATTTCTCAAGGACCTGTCCATCAGGAACTAGTAGAGATAGCATAATCCATGTCAGAGGCTGATCTTTCTACAAGCAGTGGCATAGTAAATGGCTTCCCTGAAGACTTTTATTCAGGCAACATTATCAAAGGAATAGCAATTGCATTTATTGCTGTAGCTGCAGGATATTAATGGAAATCAAGCTTATGATACTGAATAGATGACAAAACCACAAATGTAGTGTTGTGTACCATCACAGCCATTTATGGTGTGAAAACTTGAAATTATAAAACACAGAGGAATAATAGATGCAGGTATGTTGGCAACCTAGGTCAAGGAGAAGATTTGTTTAAGTAATCTCATCAAGGAGACTGTGAGGAGAACGACTGTTCTTCCTGTCCAGTCCTCTACTTGATTGATGACAGTTGCCAAAATGAACTTCTTTCTGCAATTTCAGCTTTGTCCATCGTTGGGAAAGTGTGTTGTGTACATAAGCAAGGTAGGATGGGTGTAAAACCAGTGGCTCTCTGAACATCCTAACGATTATGTTGAACAAATGCATGGAATGTGATTTGGCATCAGTTGGGCACACCCGGGGTTGGTGGTTCATGTTATCCTGAGGTGGTAATCCCTTTTGTACAGATACAGAGCCCCAGGTATTTTAGCTGTGTACCATTTTGCTAATTTTGTCAGGACCTGCTGACTATTTACTGGAGATTATGTTGTTTTGACTTGCAACCACCCTATAGTACTAAAACATCATCTGGGTGGTTTGCAACATAATTATACAAAAATGTGTTGTCCCTCAGTGAGCTGGGTACTCATTTTACTGACCTTTGAAGGATTAAAAGCTGAGTCATCCTTGAGCCAGCTACCTGAATCCGACAGGACTGAATTGTCATGAGCAGAGGCTTGACTGCAGTACTGCAGTGTAAACTCTGTGTCACAGGGTTCTTAAGGAAGATTATGAACCTTCCCTGAGAAAAAGACCATATTGCTCTTACTGTGGCAGCTTCTGGTGAGACAAAACGGAGGCAAGCAAGAAGCCTGTAAACAGAGGAAAGTCTACTTAATTCTAGGATTGAGATCTAATGATTCCAAGAATTGTACAGATGTTTCTAAGTGAGTATGAGCAAGCACAAAGTGAGGGGCTCTCCTTTTACAATCCTATTTCAGGTGTGAAAGGTGGTGAACTTTTAATACGTTTCACTACTCCTTCATCCAGATCAATCAAGTGCTGGGAAGTGCCCACATTTCTTATATGTTGGTGGGGGATCCATCAGGACAACTCCTGATTTTGTTAACTGGATTTTGTGTCGCCCCCTTATTTATTGAGTCCCTGTGTCCCTGCTTTTCCTACTCATTTTGGTGGGGCACCTACTTTTTCATTTACCCATTGTGTGTGCAAACTTTGTTCAGTGAAGAAGTCTTTTACATTGAATTGCTATGGAGAAGATTCAAGCCGACTTCTTTTACATTTGACTTGGCGCTAAGCTAAAATGACCAATAAACCTCTGTACTGCAGCACTTCCTGGACTCTGCTGCTCAAGACTGGAGGTGAGGACTCGCATGTTTGAGTGTACTCCCATTTCAGTCAGGCCCCTTGCCTATATCTCTTGAAGTGCTGTCAACCCCAGGCAGCTGTGTATCTTGGCCTGTAGTCTAATATGATTCAAAGTGTTCTTCCTTTCCACGTCCTCAAAGTGTCAGTGATACAATATGGCTTTCTTTCAAACTTATAGGATATCTGGCCAAAGATGAGGACATCATTCCTGTACCTTTCCTAGTTGGGTGCAGGAGGAAATTTCAGCAGGTGCAGCATTTAATACAAGCCTGTATTAATGTGCCTCTTGAATTTGCTCCACAACTTTTAAAGATACAAGAACTGTGTACTCTTTTTTTCAACCTGTCACCCTACAAATTGACCTTTCGTTATTAGCCTTTTCATACGGCAGCTTAATTTAATTCCAGCTGTGACCACATTTACAACAGATAACTCCATTTCCTTCCATTCCTCTCTTGTTACATTGGCCTCATCTTGGGCTCAGTTTTCTACAGTATGATTTTGTTTGGATTTTAATCCAAAAGGAGGAAAGGGAACCCTCTGTTTTTCTTATCAAAAATCAATAGTAGTGTGCTATATAGAGTACGATATGGCACTGGATAAATAATAAAGTAATAGCATGTGTGAGAAAAGGCTAGATTAGGTTCTTTTCTCCCTGACATGCCAGTGTTCTTTGTAGAGGAAAGGTGTTGCCGTTTGCATGCAGTTCTGGCTGGGGAACAGTCCAGCTCATGTTGCAGCATGTGGTTCAGCTTATTTGTGCCAACAAGAGAGAGAGACCAGCACAGTGGTGGCACGACCACACGATTGGAAAAAAAAATGCAGATGGTTTATGATAACTCAAGTTGGTATGGGACAGATATAAGATAACCATATGACAACCAAAATTACACAGAATCCATTTTCCCCATCTTAGTATTCAGAAAAACCTGCCATTATTAAATCTTGCCCTGCAGCAAAACTCTGAAAGAAACAGAAGTCTTCCTCCCTTTTGGAATATGGTCAGCCTGCCTCCGATTTAAACGTATTGGAACAAGATGCCTGTTTACATAACCAGCAATCTGGAGTTCAACAAGTCTCTTTCTGAATTGCTGTGTAAATATTTTTTTTTTAAAAAAATCACTCCTCTTCATTCTTAGTCTGGGAAATGCTGTTGACTTGCTTGCTCTATTTTTTAAAAAAATCACTCCTCTTCATTCTCAGTCTAGGACTTGTGTTAGAAGCCTGGGAAATGCTGTTGACTTGCTTGCTCTGTCCCTAAAGCATTAGCAAGAAAACTAGAAATACCTGGGGTAGGGGTGGGGAGGACATTTTGTAAAATAAATTCCTGACTGGCTGCTGGCTTCTTTTGATACAAATGACTGCACGAAGGCATGTAATAACAGTGGGTAATACAGTTCCAACTAAACAATTCCTTATTCGGGACCGTTCAGGAGTCACTGGAGTTTGCTGCTTTGTTATAAATTAGCTTATTATTTATGTTGTTCTTGTCTGTATGTTATTTTTATACACCTATTCCTTGGCATCATTTTCATAATCTGCCCCAGATTTCATTTCCTGAAACGGGACTGAGGTAAACACACAAACGCATGCATGTGCGCACACACACACACACACACACACAAAATTTCACTATTTCATTTTCCCATTGGAACCTGTGGCATGATGTCCTTCACCTGTTATCATGTTTATAGGTACAACCCCAAGATGCTCCACCTGTGCATTATGTACTTCCCTGTTTTTCCCCACAAGCCACTTCATTCTCAGCAGCGTTCAGTGTTCTGAATTTTTACCAGGTTCTGACTTTGCGGTCTTGTGCGTTGCCAGAGGAATTGCAAGATGTTCTTAATTCCTGATGCACTGACATAAAATCAAGTTTCTCCCATGACTTGATGCTGAAAAAAACATTTTCATATACATGAAAACATTTTTTTAAAAATTGACTACGGCATGAGCTAGTGCTTTCATAACATTTAAGGGACCAGTTCTTGGATAGATTTGGGAAATGGAGTAGATATACATGTGGAAACTCTTCTACAGATGTTGCCCACTAAAAGATGGATGAGGGAAGGAAGGAACAATTTGTCTACAGATGACAGCTTCAGCAGTGCTTTTGCATACCTCTGCTTCTATTCTATTTTACATGCTACAGGTTGCCATGGTTTCCAGCAGTTTGAAAACGTTGCCATGAACCTTAGGCTCAGGTGCCTGCTCATCCCCTCAGACATAGATAGTAGGGAGATCAGGGCTTCCACTGTCCATTTAATGCTAATTATAATTTCCCAAGAGATCAGACCTGGAGGCACTACTTGGCCACAATTCCCTGTTGACTGCTTCCAAATTCAGGTTGAATTAGTCAATTGGGCTTTTTAAAGTGAATCTGGCTTGTGGCTTGGCTAGGAAGGGAGGCCACCTTAAACTCTTATGCTTATTAAGAGTGTGGACATGAGCTACAAATTAAATTGCTGGGGGAGGGGGGGGAAGCTTCCTGCCTTGTGCCCAATCCTCAGTTTCAGGCATCCACTTCAGCCTGGAGTGCAGAGATGATAGGTGTCAAGCTTGATCTCCTTTAGTGTCTGTTTTGACCTTTTCAATTTCAGTTTGCCAAGGTGTTTCCAAGGGAGGTCTGTGAAAGAATCTATCATTCTTACTTGGTGATGAACTCATGCATAGTAGGAATGAGTGTACTTTCGGAGAGGTGCTGTATAGAAAAGGTAGAGATTTCTGCACCAGGATATGAGGTGAAACATGGTTGGGCAGCCTTATTTTTCATAGCATTATCTGTGACACAGAAGCTTGAAAAGTATCTCCCTGTGCCATCCTATCCCTTTGACAAAATATGTGACTAGATCAGAATATTTTTAGGTTACAATTGTTCCCGTAAAGCTGGGACTCCCTCTAGTACTATAATCAGAGAACCCACTGACCTTCCATGTTTCAACTGTCCTAAACTTGTTCAGACACAATCCAGAACAGAGGCAGATAACCGGCAGTTTTGAATAGTGGAGTGGTGGGGTGAGGTTCTCTTGAGAATACTTGGTTGAAATTTTATTAGTACGACTTTGAATCACCATTTTTCAAATTTCTCAAAAAGATTAAATATATCAACAAGTTAAGGGTCACTGCATCTTATGTTCTTGTCAGTGAAACTTGGAACACTCAATCAGGCTGCGGGGCAGCTGTTTTTCTTTGGCATCTTGTTTCTAACCTAAAGCAGAGATGGGCAGGCTTTGGGAGGTTCAGTGGCCTGCCCTTGGGACATGCAGGGGGGCACTAAAGCAGCAGCAGCAGCAACAAAATGCCTTTAGAAAAGCGAAACTGAGAGCAACCAATGTCTGCCTCAACTTT